ATATCAACGTGATGCAAGTTTGACACTCATGACCTAGACAGTTGCTCCAAAGGTGATCAGCAAATGCAACCAATCCCATCTCTGTGCTATACACTGCCTGAACCTAGACTGAAAAGGGCCCAAATAATTTGCTTTATCCATGGGTCTCTGAAGCTGAGAATTAGCCTGTCATCAATCTTTCCCGAATGGTTGGAGGCTGGACAAAAGTTGTCTAGCAATGCTGAGTCAAGGAAGGCCTCTTGAGAAAGAGGCGCACCATCTTCTCCTTCAGGGAAGGAAGTACCACAAAAAGGAATTAGCCACCACTTGGACCTAGCCACATGCCATCTCCAGGAAGCTTTAACAAGGAGGGCATAGGTCTAGAACATAAGTTACCAAGCTCATAGCTGCAATGACTCTATTCACTTTTTCAGAATAAACTGGCTCAAGCTTCTCCCAGATAACAGGGTTCAGGTATGTCTTAGTCACTTCCAAAAAAAACCCTGCCTAGCCAAAGTCCAATTCCAAATGAAGTGGAGAGACTTTATCTGACAGATGCTGAGAATTTTCTCACAGTGAAAATAGATGGAATAGTTGGAATAGTGTGTCAGAGAAGTATAGAGACGATAACTGTAGAGTAGAACGCAAAGGAACCTAGAAGAGATCATGCAAAATAAGGACATTTCAATCACAGCAAAGATCAGAATAATTAAAGCATAGTCTTGCTAATAGTAATTTATTGTTGTGAAAACTGGACACTGGGAAAGACTGAAATACACCTTGGAGTTATGGATCTGCAGGTCACTTACAAAGAGTACCAGGGTCTGCAAGGAGAAACAGTCAATCAGTTCTGGATCAAACAAAGGCTAATTACTTCCTTGAGACAAGAATCAGCAAGAAGACATTTAAATACTTTGATGTAAGTGCATGATGGATTAAAAAGAAGTAATGTGCTTGGCAAGAAATGCAAAAAGGATACAGTGGATAGTAGTGATCAAATAAATCCTTGGAAAGTCCCTGAAAGAACAATATAATTGTCAGAACAAGTTTGTGAACTTTTACTCTTAAGGTCGCCATAAGGTCACCATTTATCATAATATATTAACTGGAAATCTTAGTAGACCTTCTGTGCTTTATTTTCCACACTTTTTGCACTGTATTATTAAGCTACATAAGAAGTGAATAATTAGCAATATTTTTATGAGATGAACTGATGGTATCAGTTCAAATTTGAAACAAATGGATAGCTCACAGATGATAAAAGGAAGAATTTGCTTTCTGTTCTTTTTTCCACTTTTGTAGCGTATGCACTAATAGAAAATAATAAAGACAAGCTGCTTCCTATCCAAATATCTTGGGGGTGGGAGACTGGAAACTGCTCTGTGTGGTTATGTAAAACTGAAAAATACAGCAGTAGATTTTCTAGATCACCTTCCACGGTTGAACACAAAGTCAAATGCTCAACAAACTAAGTAAAAGATATCTTTTGTTATTTAATCCTTGAAAAACGGTTTTTGAATAGCAATGTTATTGGCATTATTAGATTTTACAATGCATGCTTATTAATACTCAAAGACCCAATATTTTAACAATGTAGTTCCATATAGGCCTAGTTATATGCTTTTAATATTTCTTGTTCTGAAGTGTAAAGGCAGATGTGACTTTGCTTATGCATTTTCTCTGTTTAAGAGAAATCCATAATAAATGTTGTGGCAAGAGTTAATGCTTACCTACATACACGCAACTAATGATTTCACGGAAAACAACAAACAGGATCATCCAAAATTTTCCTTGCACAAAGGATTTACTGTAACTCATCCAGTAAAAGTAAAAGGTACAACTAAAGAAGCAGTTTTATACAAAAGGAAAGGGGAAGCCAATTTACTCATGCCCTGAAAGAAGATTAGACAATATATTTTAAATGATCACCTCTCAGTATTTGTGTTATCCACAAATACTTTTATGAGTGTTTTTATTACCAATAACATGCAGTTAACAACTGAATGCATTTATTCCTGACATTTAAACTTAATTTTAATACTTATATTACTTAAGCAGTCCCATGTTCCAAACAGAGGCTCCCCGCAAAGAGACAAAAACAGTGGTCACTGCCAGGGTTTAGAGCTCCCAAAGTTGAGGAAAAGTTAGCTTTGCTCAAATCACAAGTTTGGAGACTTTAGTATATATTGGGTTCACTCACTTCCTTTCTTAATCACTTTACAAAATTGCTTCTTGACTGCTTTTAGATACTAAGAACATTGGACACAACAAATTTCATCATACTAGAATTAGATGATTCTCCTTCAATCTTCAGCAAAAAAAGTTTAATGTGTTAAGTTTTAAGAATTTAAAAAACCTGAAACGAACAGCAAAAGGGTGATTAGAATGTTGATGTGGAAAGTTATAAATGGACTAATGAGCCAACTGGATTTGAAATAACCTTTTGAAATTTAATTATAAGAATCCTCCTTGTGGGTTGCTTAAAATTCTGTTAAAAAGAATCAGTACAACATTTGAATCTAAGTGAAAAAAGTCTTTTGATGGAAAAAATGTTATGGGTGAGAGAAAAATATAAGAGGAGACTTTGAAGGCTGGACACTAGAGGCAATTAGAAAGAACTAAAGAAGAAACTCACTAATACAGAAGGGAAAATTTATTTAACTTTGGAAGAATTCAAGGATATTTGGGAAAATAACCCTAGGAAATTTCTATTAAGATGTCTACTATCATAAAAATAGGCTTAAAGGAGGAACTGGAAAAAGATACTACTGAGAATCAGGCTATTTTGGATTTGGATTTAAAAAGATGAAGATTCTTAATATGTTGTTCTTGGTAGCTGTTAATAGATTTTTATTGACTAGGTCTGACTGATGAGGTTTTAAAGATTTGTTTATAGATAAGAGATACACGAAGAAGAGAGTGTTTTGTATTTTTAAAGAAAAAGATAATACTGTTAAAAGTAAAGGAACATGAAACCGATCTATTTGATTACCGTATATATTAACACATATGTTGTTATTTCTAATAACTCTTAGGGACTTTTACTGACTAGGACTGAATTATGAGTGTTTAAAATTTGTTCATAGATAAGAGATGAGATATAACATAGGGAAAAGTGTTCTTTTGTATAAATGATAGGGATGGTGATAAATTACTGAAATTGTACTTGTCTTAATAAAGAAACAAGTAATTTCTTTATATAATTTTTCTTTATCTTCTTCTTTTCTGCACTTTTTATATGTTTCTTAGTTTATATTAGTTTTTTAATCTTTGTATTTTTAAACTGTCATAAAAGTTATTAAAAAGTTGTCCCAGTCATGCAGAACAAAAATATACAAAAGTTGTTAGTAGAGCTTTATAGAAATATAAATTAAAAAAAAGAAGAAGTGGGGTATGGAACCCTCCTCCCAAACGAAAACAGTCAAAGCCACCCATGAAGGGTTGGAAGGCAAAAGAGAAGAATAGAAAGAGAACACAGAAGATAATGATGCTGGGAGTTTTAGTACGTCAGGTAGCTTTACTACCTCAAAGTTGATTGCCTAATCCATATGTTCAAAGCAACTCACCTGTTTTTCTTCAGATAGATTATGTTTTTTTCTCCTGCTTGAGAAAATATTTTGTTGCACATTCTACCTAATCTAAGGCAGGAATGTAAGAATGTTAGGGTGAAACATATACGGCAGAAGTATATGTGAAAATGATCTACCTGCTTTGGAGTCTCACAGTTGAATATGAATCGGGTATATTATGCAGGAGAGGAGAGGGGAAGGGAGGGGAGAGGACTGATTCTAAACTACATCACTCAAAGTACAGTGTTCAGATGAAGAAAAGTCTTCATTCCTTCTACTCTTAGTTGGTCAGACTGTACTTAGAATAGCTTGCCCAGTTCTGAGAACCATATATTATGAAATGCATTAATAATCTGAACTCTGTTTAGAGAACAACCAAGTTGATAAGAGACGTAGAAGGGAAAACAAAAAATCAATTGGGGTTTTGGATGTCCCTCTAAAGAAAACCACAGGAAGACATGATATCTGAAGAGATGAACATCTGAAGGGCTGTCTGTCATATGGAAAATAACAGAAAATTGTTCCAGAATTGTTCCACTTCTACAGGAAGAACCTGTGCTCTTGCCAACAAATCTTGCCTACTATCAGGTCCTATTCAAATAGCTACAAAGAGTGACTTTTGTAATCATTCACCTATTATCCTTACTAAATCCTATTGTCACTGCAGCCTTTGTGTTGAAACTGTCTCCTCTGTAAAAAGGGATTCCACTCCCAGTCTGAATGGCTTTAACCTATATCTGTTTGTCAACATAGCTAAATGTGAGCCCAGTAGGTAGATGCAACAAAAAACAGTTTTTCCTCTTCTTAGCAGGCATCTTCTAACATGGCTACAATATCATTCATTTCAACAGCTAAATTCTAAGACAGCCTTATTGATTTCAAAGTGAAAGCCTGATCTACAAATAGTGGCTGCCCTGATCTTCATTAGCCATCCAAATGGTGGTAACCATAGTCATATACTGACTCAAGCAGGGGTAGCAAAAATGGCAAAATAACCACATCTCACTGACTATATTGCCACTATGATGTTGTTTTATCCACTGCTCACATGTGCACCAATCCAGCTGAACCAGTTTTCTAAGTCTTCTTTCTTCTCTATGTCACTTGACTGTCTCCTTATAGACACTAACCTCCAGTTATCTTTGAAATAGATTTATCCCATCCTTTCATAAGAAGTCATAACATTATAAGAAAAACCAAGATGACAGATATGACTAATCCAAGCCACAATTTATATATGTTTTCCAAAACATGCCTTCTATTCTGCACTTACTCTTAGCATACAACACATCCACACCAAAAAAGAAGTATATAGTGATTGTGACTAAGAAGGAGGTATCAAGAGTTAAGCAATCATCAGTGAAAATACTACTGTTTGAAAGCTATGAAAATGGGATTATTACGAAAAGTCCTGGGAAAAAAATCAGTATTATAATACTAGACAAAACTTACGGATTTCTTCAACAATATCTGGATCACATTCTTTGTATTTATCTACTTCTGTCTTTAGATGGTCTTTCTTCTGTTGTAAGGCGCTAAGTTCCTTTATTAGTGTTGCACGTTCTGCCTGAATACATTTAATTTGGGAGAATCCAAAACAAAATAATAATCATTATCATTAAAATGTATCAAGTTTTCTAGTCACTGGGCATACAGAGAATCCAATTTCTTTCAAATGTAGCAGATAAAACTACACTGTAACATTTTTTTTTCTATAACACACAAGCACAATATAATTATGACACCAACACAGTGAGATAGAATTTTTATATAACAAAAGTATAATTGTAACAAATTATAAAAGGATTGAGAAATAAAATTATTTGTACAATATATTTAGAAGTAGAATTTCAAAGAAACTCCCCTCATGTAACATATATTAGTATTATTACAGAGCTGTGTTTTAGATAATGCAGAAAACCTTGCATTCTACAGCTGCCACTTACACAAAACCCATACTTTCATCCTGAGCACTATAATATTTTCAAATTGGAATTCCATCTGGACTTGGGATACAGCAAAATAGGGATGCCATGGTATTCCCCACCATACACATTTTTAAAAAAATTATTTCAGAAGGCACCATAAAAGAATACAAAAATGTCACAAGATTTGATATTGTCACGCAGTAGTTTTTTTAGGGTCTTTGAGCCACCATGCAAAATTACACATGGCAAATGGGGCTTGATTGGTTGCTAATCAGTGTTCTGAAATAAAACTTACAGTATCTTGCCGCCCAATTTTTGATTGCTTAATGCTTTCTTCTAAATCCTTTTTCTTCTGACAATAGTCTGAGAACTAAAGGAAAAGAAAAAACAAATCTCAGATTATATAAACATTAATATTTACTGTATATTCAATATTCATTTTTTCAATTTCATTTTCATTTTAAGAAATATTTAGTTTCAAACAGGCTTAGATTTCCAGTTCTAGTGTTGCTGAGATAATCCTGAATTTGCATATTGAATAACCAAAAAGCAAGACATTTGTAAAGAAACATTGATACAATATTCTATGTGTGTGTATACAAACATTACATACCTAAAACATAGGTGGCATAGTGTATGCATATTAAATTTATCGAATGGCTTTCCAGAGAGAATTAGTTTAATTTACAGCAACAGAACACACTCAGTGCCTTATCATTCTGTTAGGTTTTAAGACAGTTCTTCTCAAACCTGGGTAAATTACCTAAAATTGGGTAAAATGTAATAATACCCAAACCACAGGGACATTTAAATAAGGATGCTCTGATAAGTAGTAAAAAGAACTTTTTTGATAGTTTTGGCAGTTTTGGAAGTGCAGCTTTAAGATGTCACAAGAGTTCATTGTTTTTACAACTTAATAGCTCTCTAATTTCCATGAATTAATCTTAATTTTGTAGATGACAGCAGCTGCTGATAAGCTTACAAAAACATTTTTAAAAGTTTGAAAAGATATAAACTCTGCATGAATATAATAAAGTACTATAATCTGAATATTTCATATGTTCTGAACTTCTTAAGAATATCAATAATCAGTATGTATTTTTAATACCTATAAGTACATAGCCTATTGCCATGATGGCAAACTTATGGCACATGTGCCAGAGGTGGCATGCAGAGCCCCCTCTCTCTTTTTTTAAACAAGTTTTATTGGTTTTTTCTCCTCTCCCATATTCACCCACATTTTTTTTTTTGAACAGTGTGTTGGCCGTTTCTTATCTTATACAATTAATCAAATTCAAACATTTTACTTAATTACAATTCTTGCCAAAATCGTCTTCCCTTTTTTCTTTTTTAAACACATCTCAATATTTCTATACTTGCATACATAAACACCATCTTCATTTGTCCCTAAATTCTAACTTTACTGCATATTTATTCTCTTTTATTCTTAAACAGTTCATTCTTTATCTTAATATATTTATATTTGTTTGTTCGGCGTTGCCTTTCTTCCACTTCCCAAAAACGGCCTGGAAAATGGCAAAAAAAACCCACAAAAAACCAGGCCGTTTTTCAGGCTGTTTTTAGGGCCGGCGCGCCAGTGCACACACATGAACGTGTGTTCCGATTTGGGCACTTGATGCTGGAAAGGTTCACCATCACTGGCCTATTGGATGAGTTACTGTATTTTTAATGTCTCTGAAATATTTGCTAATATAGCAATTTTTATGATCGGATTTCCAGCTATAAACTATATTACTAAGGTTCTGTTTTGTTGATTCACTGACATGTAAATTGTAGAATCTACTCTATCCACATTGCCTTTTATGGAAAAGGCTCTCAAAAGGTATTTTTGTACACAATATCTTTATACAGCAACTCTTTCATTTTTGCAGTAAAGATGAAAAATCAATCTTGGATCTCAGCCTTGTACATTCCAGCATTTTAACATTTTAAACAAAAATCTCTTTCAACTGATAGTATTGCTTAGTTTAGCAAATCTTTCTGAATCGCAGAAACGATACTACACAAATTGACTTATCTGGAACTGATGACTAAATATTTATAATCACTTTAATAGGATGTTAGACAGCCAGTAAAAGATCAGCATTTTTACATAATTATCTATCAGGCATTTCTGGTAAACCATAAATAAAACTTGAGGGCCTTGGAATTTTCTTACTAATGTTCTCCGACAACCAGTAGTTTGCATAACATTCTGCTTTGGCATATGGAAATATTGCTCTCCTTTTAAACCCCTCCCCAAAGTTGGTTCCTATCAAATTCACACAAATTTGCATTATGCAAAGTTCTTCCTTAATCTCTATGCTCAAGATTTTAGGATTGTAAGCATACCTAGCATGATAACCACTTTCACTTGCTTTGATAATGCATAATTTTACACACAGGACCATTTCCTGAACCCCCTTATTTCTTTTAAGGTAAAAAGCTCCAAATGTTGCTATATTTCATAAAAATCAATTTGATTTTAGTAATGTTATTTATTTAGTAACAGTAGTGAAAATATAGCCTTAACCAAAGTAAGAAAGCTAAACATTAAACAATGTTTTTCTACCATGTTTCCCTGAAAATAAAACCTAGCCTTATTTTCTTTTGGGCTCCAAAATAAGTGCTCAGGTTTATTTTCGGGAAGATCTTATTTTTTTGATGTGGAAGGATGCCGTGAGGCTTGTTGCGCCGGTGCAGATACTTGTGGCAGGACGCTGTGTGGTGTGTTGGGCCATTGTGTGTGTGAGCGGCTCCATCAGCGTGATGAGGATTGTGGTGTCCTTCTGAGAGCGGCTCCACCTGTGCAGCGAGCCTCGCAGTGTCCTTCTGAGAGCGGCTCCACCTGTGCAGCGAGCCTCGCAGTGTCCTTCTGAAAGCGGCTCCACCAGCATGAGTCTTGCGGCATTTGACCGCAAATGGACACAAGCAGCTGTAGAAGTCGGGCAGTGGCATGACAGGTGTTGGGGTGTGGGAGGCCTGGCTGTGGTGGTCCTAAGGAAGTGGGTGCGCAGCGCGTGGGGCACCTCCAACCCTACACCCACGCCCTAGCTTGATTTTTACATCTACGCCTCGCCTCACTTCATACAACCAGAAGGTGGGCAGGGCCTAACTAGGGCTTATTTTGGGGGTAGGGCTTATATTAGGTGTGAAAATTAGGCTACGGCTTGTTTTCAGAGTAGGTTGTATTTTCGGGGGAACATGGTACACTCATAAATTTCCCAAAATAATTCCTGAAATTCGTGAGCTATTTCAACTATGGAAAAAAAAATCCTGCAAAAACATAATAATCCTGCATAAGCATGATGATGTTTGAATACCTTATTTGGCCAAGTATGTTTAGATGCATGAGGAATTTATCTGTGGTATAGAAGCACTCAGTGTACATGCAAAGCAATAGAAAGATGGTGATGATAATAATAATAATAGCCATTGGATAAACAGCTGGAATAGTGGACTGGACTAAACAGAATTAAAAGCGCTGGATAAGAAGACCAGAAAAATAATGACAATGAATCATGTCCTTCATCCTCGCAGAGACATCTACCTACCAAGGAAAATAGGTAGCCGTGGAATGTTGCAATATCCTCAGCTGATGAAGAAAAAGAAAAAAGAGCATTGCAAGAATACCTAAAGGACAGTGAAGAAGATGCATTGAAGCTAGTATACCACCAGGAAGGCTTACTGACTACTGAAGAGACCAACTGGCTTACAAGAAAGACCAAATGAAGAACAGAATGGACGAATGGAAAGACAAAGCATTACATGGCCAATACATTTTAAAAAATAGCAAGTAAAAACAGTTACATTATCTTGGTTATCTTATCTTTAAATTTACTGAATTTATATTATCCTCATAAATTAACCACTGAGATAGGACAGCTAAGAGAATGTACTTTCTGTTTCATATCAATGGACATAAAGTACCCTGATCCAGTCCTTTAGATTCGCCAATAGTGGGATAATTTCACTGGGATTGTTTCCCCTGCCTGGCTAGACAGAGTATTTTGCTCCTACTGAATAGTAACCTTGCACTGGACAACTGAAAGGCAGGAATTATTCAAGCAAGAATATTATGAAAGGAAAATGGGGAAAGCATAAGTTAGATATTAATACCACTTATATTCATATCTTCATCATAGATTTTTAAAGAAACAATTTTCCTATTTTCCTTTTTTATGGCCCTTGTCTTCTTGTCTTTATAAACTAGAATATAGACCTGGTTTTACTGTCTCTTATTTTTATTTTATTTATATGAACTACTTCAAGAGGTAATTAAAAAATAATAAATAACATTTTATTATATCTTATAGGAAACTGTTGCTTAAATGCTAATGTAGTGAATGTAGTGAAAATTATTAAAATGTATCAATTGTAGTGAAGATCAGTTTAAATATATATGGGAAACTAGAATTTGACCATACATATATACTGATTTTTAAATATACATCTATTCTCTACTATATGTAAATGTTACAATCTCTCATTATGTATACATTGCATGTACAATTATACATACAGTTTACATCTCACATGTATTTTTCACATCCTTGGATAAACTTATATGGGGGCCAAGAATAAAACATCTCTTACATCTTAAGCAATCTCAATATAGGGAGGTGGGATAGTCTGAGATAGTTCTTAGCAAATATGAATTTTGCCTTCATAAAGTGACACATGGGCAGTGGTGAAATGTAAAATTTGTTACTACCGGTTCTGTGGGCGTGGCTTGGTGGTGATGGGGTAATGTGACTGAGTGGGCGTGGCTAACTTTTTTTAAAAACACTTTTAAAACCATTTTTTCTACAACCTCTTCGGCTAAAGAGATTGTAAAAAAATGCTTTTAAAAGCCTCTGACAATCCCAGCTGAGTTGCCTGATTGTCAGAGGCTTTTTTTTTTAGTTTTAAAAGCATTTTTATGGCCGAAGAGGTTGTAGAAAAAATGCTTTAATTTTTTTTTTTAAAAAAAAAAGCCTCTGATGATCGTGCGGCTCAGCTGGCGATGGGGGGAGGCAGAGATTTTTGCTACCGGTTCTCCGAACCACCCGCTGCCATCGCTACTGGATTGGGTGATCCAGTCCGAACCAGGAGCATTTCACCCCTGATTCTGGGTAACATGTTGATTTAACAATCTTTATTCTTTTTATTATGACATTTACAGCTTTATAAATATTTTTTTTCTTCTTGTTGACCATCTTGAAATTTAGATCAGAATTGCTGTGCAGGAAGAAAATGTCTCTATTGAGTTGAACTTGATTATACTATTATGTAAATATTGTTGTGTTGTGTTATAGAAATGGATTGCCACTCTCTTCTTTTAGGAACTTATCCCAATTTATCAGTCTTGGTCACAAATCCTAGGAAATC